GCGTATTATATATCACATAAATCGCCCGGGAAAGTTTTATTCGCGAAACTCTGCGCCGCGGTAGAATTATTTATACGAACGCGATATCTTTACGGCGTGGTAACGTAGGATGCGGCTGTACGATCTTATCTCGACGTTGTGCAATGTTGCAAAACGTATTCCCGGCAGGGAAAAGTTCGATTTTTACACAAATGTAATAAAATACGCAAATATGAATAAAGAAAACAGAGCGCAAGTCTATAGGAAGGAAATAAGCGGCAGTTCGTTCTCCGTGATTATTGTTGGGATTATTGTAAAATGTATTTATTGTTATTGATCTAAACATTGACTTTTTGAGACGTTAAATTTCAACAAACGAAATTGATACGGTACAGTGCGTACCTTAAACTCGTACTGTAAACTCATCGTATTTATCATTCGAACGTGACTTACTTCCGTCAACGACGGAGACGAATGCAGTGTCTCCTATGCATTTCGACGTGTTTACCGGAGGAACGTACCGTCTGAAAGGAAAGGACCTCTAAAAGGGATGACTATATATGTTGGTCGTTACATAAAATTATTTGTTGCGACTGAACGTTATTATATCAGTTTATTTACTCTGTTATCATAATATTATTATACAAGAGAAAAATCATAATTTATTAATTTTATATATGAAATTTCTCTTAACAATATGTCCATTTTTATACATGTCTAAATTTATTTTGAGCACATTTAATGCAAATACAATTTATTAATTAATTAGTCACAAATTTTTGCTAAAAAAAATTCGAATATGAAAAAAAATATATTTAAAAATATATTAAACATATATTAAAAATATATTTATAGAATTATAAATTCTTATTATTATATATTTTTGTTGTTAAAATTTATAAAAAGGGTTGATAAAGGACCTTTCATTTTTAAGTAATTTATAAATTATTTTTAATAATAAAAGTCCTTTATCAACCCTTTTCATAAATTTTATAACAAAAATATACAATAATAAGAATTTATAATTCTATAATAACAAATTCTCCCTAGTTTTTATTAAAGAAATATGTAACAATTTTTATATAAAATAGTGATATATTGAGTAAATGTATTTCCAATTAATCTGTATTTTAACAATCAATTTACATTTGGTAAATATGTTTATTTCTCTTCTCTCTATCTTTAAAACTTATATTTTTATAATACTCGTTAATATAAATACATACACAGCATAAATTTAACATAATACAATATAATACAACTTATATTTTATACAGTAATTAATTTGACATACATTAATTATACATATTAATCATATTTGCTTTACAACATTCGCATAAATAAATAAGGAAGAGAAGGCTCTGCGTAAACGACACACAATCATAAAATGTATTCATTCCGATCACGCATTACAGGTAGGACACTGCTCTACTTTTCATTGTACTGCAAGAACTCACGCGGTCAAAGTCACGCTGTAAATAACACTGTACTGCTGTTATCCTCATTTTCACCAGACACTCTGTAACGGCAACAACAGACGAGCCGCTGCTCGCAACAATCTCATTACTTCGCCGTATTAAAACAAAGCGACGCACGCGAGGAATAGAACTTCCAAGAGCACCGGCGATGCCCCAAGGGTTTCCTGCCACGTTTCAGGCTTCTCGCGATGTACGAAACATCAACATCCGTAGCCCCGGAGCCGCCAAGAACCACGATATCTTCAGCGGGAAGGGAAGTCAGTTTATTTATTTCCGGCATATATAGAAGAGGTGCAGAGCTGCAGCCGCTGCTGCTTTCTTCGAACCAAAGTTGCTTTTATTCTCGGGGGCTTCCTCATATAATCGCAGGTATAAATATTTGGTATGTGCACGGTTGCTTTTCATACGAAGGAAACCTCGCGTTATCTTGTGAGTAACCTTGAATGTCGACACTTTGGAAGCGCATCATTAATTCCTGTCGGTCCCGCGAGTTCATTAACGAAATTCTCAAGTCTCAAATGGTCGACTACGAACTCGCGACTATAAATTACAACAAACGCAATGATCCAACTACATTTACATTTTTGTATTTTTCAAATGACCGCGAGTTTCTGTTCCGAAGATATTAAACGAATAACGATCTCTGTGATAGAATTGTTGCATTTTACACGTGAATTTTATGCCTCGTTACAAAACTTTCGCTTCTTTTGTTGAAATATTTGCTTTCTACGGTTAATAGACCATCGAGAATTTTACGTAAAATAATATAATTTATAGAATACAAGTTTGTTTTACGACAGCTCAGTTTTTTCTATGAATGTTCATTAATATTTATGGAATGTTTATAGCTGTATCTTGTGAAAAATAGTTTCTATCTCTTGAAAAATTCAAAGACAAATATTTATCAATCTAATATTTATTATGTGGCACGTGAGGAAGTTTAATTAGACCGATCGATTAAATTTTGTATTTAGACAATGCTACTAGCGGAGTTACCTCTCTCTCTATTCACGTGCGATAAGATCTTTAATAAGACTCGTTTGCTTGCTCCCTGCCCGACTTTTTTTCATTCAATCTGCGTGAAACATGAATTCAATCATGAAAACTTAAACGATGCATCCTTCTTCTAGCCAACGTTACCCATCTACGCTAGCCATTGTTCCGTTCCGTCCGTATCCATCTATTTACCGTTCTCTTGTGGTCAGTGGAGTACGGCCGATCCAGAGAGAAAGAGCGCCTGGAGGCTACCGAATTACAATGGCAAAAGATCGGCCTTTCTCTGCGCCGCCCCGTACACAAGAACGCGGAAGTCGGCGCAGGTGTGTACATTTGCATAGGCTTTGTGAGATAGTTATGCATTATGAGCATACGCGCAATTTTGCATGAAAACCCAGCAGGAAAGTGAGCCGGCCTTTTTATTCCTATATCGACCAATCTCGTGATGATTGTCGACGTTTAATTGAATACTTTAAATTAATTCTTGAATGCGTCATCAGTCTATTTACGTATTCTTACACGGAGAAAATTTTATATTTAAAATTACTATAATGTGGTAGTAGCTGCGGACATCATGTAAATTACGAGTTTAAATGCTATAGTTATTTTTTTACAAACAATAATGCAATGTAATTTTTACACTTTTTCATAGTAAATCTTTTTTATTACAAAATCACTACTTGTTGAATAAAAGTTAGTATTGTAAAGATAAGTAAAAAATATATACCTAGCAAATTTTGTTTGCGTACCATAGTAAAAATTAACAGTTTTCATGTTAGAATATGGCTTAAGCACTGGTTTAACAAAATAATTACTTTATTTATGTGATAAAAATTAGTATTACCACAGTAAAAGTTATGTCGGAATCATGTTGTGACGGTCCATCGGAAATACTAGACATAGTAAAGTGTAATTTAAAATTGTATTAAAACTTATATATAATATAAAATTTTCTCCGTGTATATTTACGAGCGATTAGATACTTTTGCAACTATATGACTTTTTTTTTATATATTTAAGATTTAATTAATGGAATTATAATTTAATATTTAATTACTTTACTTGTACACTAATATTCCTGTTATAATAATAATACTAATTTTAACAAAGCGTAATTGATATTAATTATATATTTTGATCCGTAAAAAGTGGCTTATATCGATCCCATAAAGTCCTAAATATCTAAATATCTAAATATTGTAGATTTTATAACACCAAAAAATCATTATTTAATTCAGTAATCATTAAACATAATTACAAATAATTAATTGACAATATTAAACATTTGTAGTACAATCAATCAGTGAGTAAAATAATAATTCGATTATTTTTATTAAAAACATAAACCGCAAATACATTTGACAGACTTTCTTTTCTTGTTATAAAGTTTTCTCTTTCTTCAGATAATATTCCAATCAATCTTAAGTTATCTCTCCGCAGATAGTAACTGAATCAATCCTTTTTGAAATTATTTCCCTGCCACGTCAGTTTTTGCAGATCTTTGTTAGGAGACTGTTCGTCGCAGAGTATAAAAATCGACAAATCCGACCGCGAAAGTAGACAAATGTGAGTTACGATAACACAGTTTCCGCCGTACTGAAGTATCGAAGACGGGAATAAAACATCGGCAAGTGTCCGATTGAAGAGAGGTGGAGTCGTATAGCGGACGCACATCTTGCGCAGGTTGAAATTTCAGTTTCCGCGATACGGGCATTTATTTCGATTCGCCGCGGCTAGGAACGCGGCGCACGGCAAATATGCGCGCGCGTCCCGCATGAATATTTACATCCAGATGGTGTACATAAATAGTACTCAACGAAAAAATGGGTTAGACCCGGGGATACACCCACCCGCGCCGTAGATATCCGCCGGAAGCGGTCACAAATTCTCCGAGTCTCGCGGCACAACCGCATTGCGCATAACTTTCGTGAATGTCCTCCTCCCTCTCGTGCTCCTGCGCTTTCTCTCTTCTTCGCTCTTTCAGCCTGCAGCTGTACTCTTGTATATATGAATTATTTTCATTATGGTTGATACTTCTAAAATTAAAAGCTGGCGATGCATCGTCATAATGTAAGCAACAATAATAATAACAGTAATAATAATAAGGATATGTACATAGCACAATTACACATAGGACGGGTATTACAGTTTTACTCCAAATTTTTACAGTTTTTTTTCCAAATTTAATATTGATTAAACGCATACCATTTTTTACTCTCCCGTTTATACTGGGCTTTTTTAGCACAAGGAAAATTTTACTCTCAAATTTTTCCGAAATAAAGAGAAGTCCGGTTTTTCCCTTAAAATATCTTATTAAAAATTTGGTAACGTAATAGAGAGAAGGAAATGTTGACAGGTAATATTGAATTCTTTTTGAATATTTTTTGAAAACCTAGACTTGTAAAAAGCAGATTGCAGACGAAAAGAGTTAATATTATAGAATAAATGATTAATTGTGATTACATTTATTGACTATAATATTTCATACATTACAATATTATTTTAATATTAATATATTAGTGATAGTTATATAAAGATGTCTTCAACTTAAGATCGTTAAGACGACTTTTGAAGATTCTGTGTATTAGTAACGTCAAACTTATTTCAAGTTCTTGTTAATGGCGCGAACGGTATTCTTTTATGGAACTGTTTCTCTGAAAGAATAAAATCACAACAGTATCATTCTCTGCTCAACATTTCTAGTTCAATAAATAACACACTTAATATCCTTAAAGATAACAAATCCAAATGTGTCACTCTTGAATATAAAAAAAACGTAACGCTGATTTCAAATAAGTATGACGGATCTTTCGCTTTTCCAAAATTCCAACGACAGTTTATGACAAATAACATCTACTTTATTGTCGCATTTATGACGAATGGCGGATTACACGTATGCACAAATGAAATATCGCTTTTATCGGGCCAATCGTCGTCGTAGCCCCTCCCCCTCCATTTGCCATTTTGGGGTCACGTACTACCCTATTCGCTGGTGCGCGTTTTAGCATTTATGTTCTTGCTATATTTTACACGTATCCGGTGCTCTAATCTCTCTGCACTCTAATCTCTTTAATCTCCCTATGTGTACTCATATATTCTACTTTTGGTACATAGCGATAAATTGGATTCCCAAATATGGTCCATGGGGTGTTTTTAATTTTAGGTAATCAAAACTAACACGCGATTATTCTCATGTAAAACTCATGAATTAACATACAAATGAGAATTTTATTCTTTTTTTTTTTTTTTTAGGAAAAACACAGAAAATAAGTTGTAAAATACGAATTACGATATTAAATGTATGTAACACTGAATATTATAAATCTTAATTAAAATTATTCTTCCTTTCCTAATAATAATTTAATAAAACATAAAATATTTAATATGTGCAGTTTTTACCAATAAATGGCTCTTCCTTTCTCTCTCTTATTACATATTTTTATAAAGAGCATACAAAAAAATTGTAGATTTATCGCAGATATATTTTATTGTCTATATTTTACACCTATTTATTGTCTCTCTTGTAACTATTATTATTTATTATATTTTTCGTTTCTTACTTTACTTCTAATACGACTGCGTAACGATTCCTCAGATTTCTTCAATTCGTCTACCACGTACTTGGTGTCCTCGATTTCCATCCGCGAATCTCGACTATCGCCATAAGTATTTACGCAGATCGTTCTCGGACGTTCGCTCCTGTCGCTCATCAAACTGATCTAGGAGAGAGAGAGAGAGAGAGAGAGAGAGACGCATTGCATGCCGCAAGGAAAGGCATAAAGATTGTTATGTCGCAAAATTCTGTTTCAATTTAATATGCGACGTAAAGACGAAAAAGGAGTTCTTACTTTAGATCCATCCGAACAACAGCGTCTATGGGCGGGTCGACGAAAAGCCTTCTTAAGACGAATGCAACAAATTGCGAATGGGAAAATCAAAAAGAACATCGCGTTTATGACTATAGTTATCCTATTGTACCTGCTGCATATTCTAACCGTTCTCTTGCGCGTATCCGGATGCACCGGTGCACCGTGCTCATCCATCACCACGCATTTATATTTTAATTCTCGTTCGAAGTACTCAGACATTCCGCTAGTTTCCAACAGAGAATCCAAACCCCAACGACCTACCACCGGTATATACAAGCCGATCGACCATTTTAGAAAACCTGAGAGAAACGTGCACTTTAAAATTCGTGCTATTTTATAATAAATATTTGAAAAATAAATTAGAAAAAGACTTAGGTTCATGAGAAACATATTCTATTTATAAAATATATAATAAATTAGATTAATGAATTAAATTTATATAATACTGAGAAAAAATAATTGTTAGAATATTATATGTTAAATATGAGTTAAGAAAAATAAAAAATATAATGTGTCCAAAATAATTTATTACTTAGAAAAAAATTACAAATCGTAAATAGAAAATATATCTTCGAGGATTAATAGGTAAATTCAGAAACTATTAAGTGAAACGACTGATATGATTACTGACCCATGAAAAGCAGGAGCAGGATCGACAAGACAATGAAAAATAGGATGTCTACAGTTACTACGAAAATTTTGTGGGAGGCTGCAGGAACAGGACCGCGAAATCCAGCGGCGTGATAAAGCTCCGGTGACATCGGTTTGCAGCCAGTGCCACGCGCGTCGCCTACGCATACACATAAGCAGTGCAACATGCAGGAACAATGATCCATTTTCCGTACTTTTATCCTTCTGGTAGCCACTAGTCCTCCGAGACGATTCAACAATTGCACTAGAAACCGTTCAATGTTTGCTTGAATACGCACAATTTTTTATATATATTTTGTACACTACGACAATAAATGCCGCTTGCAATATTCTGCGATAACTTTATGGAAAGTTAAATCAGTTTTTTTCTCTTTTTTTGTCAGATTGAAAAAAATTGCTTCAAATTAAATGAATATAAAATTGGATGTGCATTTGAAAGTCAATATGTTATTTAAATATTTAAATATACGGAACTTTAGAAATGATTATAGTACATTATTCTTATTAGATCGTTAGATTTACCAGAACAATGAAATTCGTTTATGGGTAGTTCGCCGTAGAGATCCAAGCTTATTGATTGATCGCGTCGAGGTTGAATTAATTTCCTAGGAAACGTAGCGTTCACCCAAGACTCTGGAAGACTGTTGGGACATTTCGTGATTCTTGATTGATAGAACATCGAAGTCAGTCCCGTATTGGTTATCACTACTGTCACTACAGTGTGATTAATTGCTCTGCTGTCCACGTGTACTTTGCTGATGCGACCTAGGGGTCTAAGATTAAAAAATTTTAACAATCATAATTCATCGAAAATTGTATTAGAATATCTTTAACATTTTCGTCAAATATTAATTTACCTTAATCTGTAAAACATCTATGGTCTAAAAAATTTGGAAAATTACAGAGTGATAAAAAAGTTTGACCACAAAGTTTTATGAATGTAATCAAATTATTATCCAAGTAGCAAACTGACATTATATTTGTTGTCATTTTGATATCAAAATAATGATAAATAACGTCAGCTTAATTGTTATCTTGGCTAGTAATGTATATTTAAAAAAACAAATTCTGAAATGTTAGTTACATCTTATCATTAAATATCAAAAAATCTGCAAAAGATTTTCATCGGTTGATTAACTGAAAATCGCATGAGAGAATTTATCCGCAGAAATGCTATCGTTGATGCGTTCCCAAAACATCTTGAAGCTTATATCAAAATTAAAAATGGCTATTTTTTATGTTAATTATATATTCTTCATATTTAATAAAATATAACTGACATTCCAAAGTTTTTTTTTTAATATACATTACTAGTTATTTAATAAACACAAAACTTTGTAACTAAACTTTTTTATCTGTGTACAATAAAGAGCACTCTTAGATTTTATCATTAAAAAAGTATCTATTCTATTTATAAAATATCATTATACACGATATCGAAAACTCGAAACATTTGTTAACATTTTAACATAGATTATTTATCGACATGAAAGGAATTTATTGACGCATTTCTGTTCGTTATTCCCGTAACGTTAAACTTCTTTCAAAGAAGAGATACCCAGCAACCAACTCCGAGCTATTCGGAGTAATTACAAAATCGGATTACGAAGGAATTAGCGCACGAAGTGTAAGCGAACTGGTTAGTTGGTAATCTCTAGTTAGTCGTCTATGGATAGATAGATATCGTTCCTCTCAAGACTCAACTCACCCTTCCATGAGCGCGGCATTGTAACTCGCCTCGATTTCGATGTCGATCGCAGACACGTGCGGCGAATGGTACTTCAGAGCGAGGAACTCGTGACTTCCGCTTCCGTTCGCGCTGTACTTGATGGGCTCGCTCGGCACGGATGCGAAATTGCTCAAGAAGTAGCAACCAGGTCGCCCGGCCGCGCGAGCTTCCTGTCGACATGTGACACTAGATCGAACAGCGGCCCGACCTTCGACAGCCGGTTGGCGGAAATGTTCGCGGGTATGCTAGGTGGTTTCCGGCATATGTTCGTGACGCGCGATCGTCGTCTGCTTTCGCCGATAAACCTCGCGATGACGTACAGTTTTGACGTAGTTCTGGAGTTTGACAAGCTTGAAACCTGATCGATAGATCTTACCCTTTCCCGGTAAAAGTTGTTTAATCTTTAATATTTTGATATTAATATAATCTCTCAAACTCTTGCTAAAATTGCGAAACCTAATCGAGAGATCTTGCTCTTTTCCAATAAAAGTATTGCTATTTACACAATCTTTTGTTTATAATCTTCAATATTTTAATATTCACGAAAAGAACGATTTCTACTAAAATATTAAAAAATTTTAATACAGATCTGAAAATAATTTTGTTGTACTATTAAAATATATAATTATGTAGAAAATATAATAAGCGATGCTGCAAAAAATTTTGACATTCTAGTAACCAGTTTGAGCATCCTACATAATTATTTTGACGGTCCAACAAAATTTTTTTTTAGATCTGTATCTAGCTAAATTTTTAGATGCTTCAGCAAAACCGTTCTTTCCGTGTTTCGCAAATTCTTGTTCTAAAATTTTAGTTTTCCCATTTTAAAGACCCAATATAGAGAAATGTCAAATTATTCATAAACTCTTTGAAGCAGAAACTGCTTAATGTTGATTAAAAAAACCCAAAGCTATAAAAAATCTTGGATGAATCCCAAATTTGCATGTTGTAAAACTCGTGTAACGTGGAATGTGTCGTATCACAATAGAATTCAGGAGAAAAACGTGAATTCGGAATAGAATGATTCGAAACGTAACAACGGGCATTCGCAGCGACAGTCGCTGCGGACATTTATGAACGCGAGACAGATTCGATATTTCGCCCAAACGAGACGGCTCGAATTCCTCGTCTCGCGTATCACACAGAGCCGACATACAAAAATCCACGTTGTCCCTCTACCCGACGACCGATTTGTATGCGACTGTCCGTTCCCGTCGCTGGGACAAATCTCCCCTCGCAACGTTTTATACGGGTATAAGTATTAAATTCGTGCGCGATAAATCATGTTACACGGCGAGCGCCGCACTTAAAGCGTCTCGCGCTCGCTCACACGAAGCTCAACGCGACGGCCGCGGATAGCTCGAGGACAGGCCATTTCCAGCGTTGTTTCATTTATTGCACCTGTCATACGTACCGCGTCGTGCCTACGGTAGGCCAGAGGCTGATTTTTCAAACAGGTTCCTCTTACACGTTCGCACCGGTCCAATTGCCTCGCGAACGCCGCGAATCCCACGCCCGCTTTGTCGCACTCGTCTCCACTCTCGTTGATGCTGCTCGCTGGTATCACGAGATATTCGCCCGACTCGCCTACGTTCAACATCAAAATATCATTTGATAAAGTATCTCATATTGAATGTATAATTACTCAAGCTTCTTAACTTGACTACTTTGCAAAGTCAACTAATTAGTAATGTAACAAGATTACAAATAGTTGCACGGTATAAGGACGATTTTGCTAAAGTATATGAAAATTTAGTTATATCCGAAAATAATTTTGTTTAAATTATCAAAATAATTACACTGGACGTTCAAATTAGTTGTTAGAATATTAAAATTTTTGCAATATTGTCATTAATATTTAAGCGTTCATAATTATTTTGATAGTCTAGCAAAATTATTCTTAAATCTGTATCTAGCTTTAAATTTTTTAATACTTTAGCAAAATCATTCTTTCTGTGTAAGTATTATTTTACAAATATTAAAATTCTAAACTGCTTACGGCAAATTTTATTGTATTACATTATTTATTATATTTATTATGTTATTATTATTATTATATATTATTAAATTTTATTAAATTGACATAATAATTTGAATTGAAATTTTTCTATACATTATAATACACATTTTATAACTCCATATTTTTTAATATTTGATTCGCTGTTTGAAAATCTCAATTAAATTTTTAATAAGAAAAATTAATTAAAATTTAAATGAAATTGTAACTTTACATTTTTGGCATATCTTAAATTAAATGCATTTGATCTTTTTAATTACGGAGAAAAAATGTGAAATTACTCTTTTAGATATTCAGATATATCTATAATTATTTTGCTTTCCGTTTTGTACAATAATTTTCGAAAATACAAACTCGCGTGTGCGATTTTAATAGGAAGGCGTTGAAACATTTCAGGTTCGATACCTTCGGCAGGATATTCAGAGCCTTTTGATGTCACCGACGACGGTACTAAAAGACGATCACGAACGACATCCAAATTAGGAATTTCGTCCTCCTCTCGTCCTAGCATTTTCACTTCCTTGTAGGCGAAAGCGATCGTATCTTGGCTGCCTCTATGGTGCCTGTTGAACGTGCCCAATCTGATGGCATAAACGACCTGTCTAGCGTGAAGTTTATCGGGCCGTTTCGAACATACTCGAGTGCGCATTTAAATTCTCTCTCTCTCTCTCTCTCTCCCCCCCTCTCCCTCTCCCTCTCTCTCTCTCTCTCTCCCCCCCCCTCTCCCTCTCCCTCTCCCCCTCTCTCTCCCTCTCCCCCCCTCTCTCTCTCACCTGACTACGGAATCTCCGGTGAGATCTTTCCAGTAAGTCGATCCGTTCGCTAAAACGCGTTTTTCGTAAACCTGAAGATACACCGCATGATCGACGATGGGATCTTCCAACTGATACACGGAATACCTAAAGAATTTTTCTGACGTTTATTTCCATAAAATTTTGACAGTTTTGAGATTTATAAAATGATAAATTCATAATCGATAAATAGAAAGTTATGATAGTCGATTTAATACGGGATAAGGTGGCACAAGTTTGAACATGATATAATTCTGACCGAAGTGAGATTTGAATTTAATTTTTGAAGTTCAAGTTTAATCTTTTCTCCTGTTTGGTACTCTTTAGTATTTTCCACACAATGAGAGTTATCAAACTTAAACCTTGAAAATTGGATTTAAATTTTATTTTGTTCAAAATTGTACCATATTCAAAATTGTACCACCTTAGTCTACAGAGCAGAGTTTCCTAAACTTTTGTGAATCGCGATCCATTTTTTATAATAGCAAACTCCACGACTCACCTAGCTAGGTGAATATGGAAAAACGGAGGAGGTTGAGAATTGATTATTTATTTACACTTAATTTTACTGCTCTCCTTTTTTATTAAATACATTTTATTAAACACTTTTATTAATATATTTTTCACATGTATGAGATGTACGTGAAAAATGCGCTTGTTTCCTATATTTATGTATTAATAACAGCCTTAATTCGAGCTGGACATTGATACGTAATTTTCAAGCACAATGAGTTTGATAATTATAATTTATTTCGCAATTTGGTTTTAATTCCTATCATCGCTAAAAAGCCAATTTCACACATAAACGAAGTCGTAAAAGAGCGCAGCACCCTTAATATAATGAAATGTACTTTAACATTCTAAAATTTTTCGCGACTAAAACTCGGCTTGCGATCCACATTTTGGGAATCCTTGCTATAGAGACTTTTGAAATGTGTATGTGACGGACACTATAAAATGTCTTCCTAGCGATTATCTGTTAATTAATTTACGTCATGTCAACTACAGAAAACCATCAGAAGCGCGAAACAAAGCACTCATCTTTGTTTTTGTTACGTCTGTACTCTGCAATTGTTGCCGCGCGTAACATTGTGTGTAAAAATGAAAATAAGTGATCGAGAGCCATTGGCCGTCATTTTAATGCTTTAATAAACCATTGGTTCATATCGCTATTATATGCATGACTGCCTCGTAATGTTTTTAATAAACTTTATTGACAGGTAAAGCTACATACTCATTGCAACAAATGAAATAAGTTTTTTATTTTTTATTAAATAATGGTATTGTTTGCAGTCAGTGAATTTACAAAAATTATACCGCTATACTTACATTTTTATATTTTGTATTTACGATTTATGTATGAAAAATCATACATTCTCTATTTTTTCTCTCCTCTGATCTTTTTATCTCAATTTATTGTTACTCTATTAACATTTATCTCTTTCTCATACTTTCGAATGTTACCACATTTTCTTTATATTTTCCGTTATAATCGCTATAACTTTATCGCGTTCGGGATTGATAAGCGTCGAGAAAAAGTTTGCATTCGGTTACATTCTTTTTCTCAATGAAACCAGCGTTATATGCGTTATGAATCACAGCCCACGATCCCTTTAAATCCCCATAGGCGACCTACCATAAATCACTAAAGCGCAAACAATGCGCGGATTCGAGATATTTGGCCGCATCGATATTCGGTGGGTGTCGACGATCCGTGCAGTCTTGACCACCGCGGATTTGCGCCGTGCTGGGATCGGCTTCCGATCCATCGACCGTCCGACTTCCGTCGCGTTCGCGCCGCCGTCTTACGTTGCTTCCCGCGGACTTCCGAAAGTTCTCAGCGTTTCTTTTCTCCGCGGCGACGTAGCGTCTCGAAAATCTTGCCGTGGCATCATCGGCGTCATACTCCGGCTCAAGAGACATCATTAATAAGTGTCTTCTGAAACGCCACTGGTTTTCAGTCTCCGAAATAACTTTCGTCCGCTGACTGCCTTTCTTCCTCTTCTTTTTCCTCCGCTGCTTTGTCTTCCTCCTCGTCGGACTTGAAGCTTTCTGGCGTTTCCTAAGTACGCGATTACCTTTCCAGAAATCGTGACGCTCGCTGACATCTCGTTTCTTGTTTGGAACGCTACGAGACAATGTGAGATTACGGGATCCGTCATGTGAAAAGATAATAAAGCTAATTACTCAAAGTTCTTGGACAATGTTAAATTTTTCCTCTATAACTGAATGTCTTCTTTAAAATAATTTACTTACACTGAGAAAACATTTGTTAACTTGCCGAAATGTGATTTGTTCATAATGATTATTTAGTTCAAGTATTTATATATTTAGATTAACAAAATCTTGTAATTTAAAACATGTTATTTGTTTGAATTAACAAATATTGCTTAACAGCTTGTGACTATCGCATTTAATTGGTATTGATTTATTAATATTTTTTTAAAACAGTAACTTTTTCTCAGTGTAGAAATTTTCACAATAAAATTTTTAATAAAATGATGAAAAATTAATATAAACAGGATAGTTACAAAACTAGAAATTAGGAAAATATCAGGGAAATTTAAAAAATTCAGGGAAATTGGAGAAAAGGTTTTATAAAATTTTTTGGAAAATTAAAAATCTTTGTCTTGAAGAAATTTAACATCATATCTTTAAATGCAAGCAATATCAATCAAATTAATAGTAATTTACATTGCTATGTTAAATTGCTCTCTCATTAAAATAGTTCGCGGTTCCCAAATCAAAACGAAAATACAAAAAATTTTAAAATATTATAGGAAATATCAGGAAAAATTTAAAAAAAAATGAAATATTTTTTTTAAATAAATGAAAAGTTATGGAACTTTAGGATTAGGAATTTGCGATAACCCTGAAATAATGCAAATCCTCTCCCCAATTAAATAAAATATTTTATACTAAATTTTTTTAAATTAATCTTATTAATTCTTTGTGACAGACCTTATATGTTCATGCACGATTTCTTTGTCAGTTCTAGAAATGCCAATATTATCGTTCATTAATGAAGAAGTTGACGAATATCGAATAGAGGTATCTTCTCTTTTTAACGAACTTAATCCTCCGTCGACAGTGGATAAAGCATCATTGGTCGAAAGTTTTGCCAGAGGGCCATTTCCGACGACGTTCCCTTCGATCTTAAACGAATCACTTCTACCGCTAACGAGATTTGGGTCAGGAGGGCGGTTAATCTTGCCGCGGACGCGCCGAAATACGACTTTTCCCGGCATTGCAGTTCCGCCCGGTACTTTGCGCGATTCCCGCAGTTTCTTATCGATCGACAGTCGCCGCGTGGGTGCCCGATGTTCCCCGATCCAATCTCCCGGAGGACCTTCTCTCATGGAACAGTTAAGCAATTTCATTCTCGTTTCGGCGCACCGATCTGATATCCCCGCCTGCCTGATCCTCTTCGACTTCGAATACTCGGGCCTGTTTTCTCTCATGGCACCAATTCTATCTAATAAAGTATTTCGCGAGACATCGATATCACGCGGAAGTGTCAGCCTGACGGTGTCGTTTGCGGCACCCGTCGATTCCGATCGCCGAAACCCGGTATTTTTATTCCTTGCCAAATATTTCTTCTGGAAAGATTCGATTTTATCCTCGGAATTTGTCACGGAAGCAATCCCTTGTTTACCAAAGTGAAGTCGATCGACGGAGCTACGAATTTGGTCCCGTGGCCACGAAGACGAACGATTCGTTTGGCTGCCGTCCAATCGAGATTTATTTCCTCCCAACTCGTCTTTTGAATCTTTAAAGGAAACGTTTAAATTTTGTTTTACACCCGTTAGGTCAACTTTGGTATTTTTCCGAGAGGCTTCTTTGCGAAGAGACTTTCGTCCGGGCTCGTAAAATAGAAAGGACTTAGGCGTCACAGAAGAAGTCGTGCTCGATAAAGTGGAGGTGTATACTTCCTTTCTCGTGGAAGTCTCAAAGAGCGTGAATAGCCCTTCGCCCTTGAACATTTTATCGGAAGAGGTTGGCAAGGTGGATGCTGCCGGATGAGAAGGTGCTTCAGTAAAGGACTCAAAAGTACTGTCACCCAAAGGCGATGATTCCTCGCGTATCCTTTCCGTAATTGTCGATCGCCACTCAGTGGTCAGAAGATCCTGTCTCGTTCTTCCTGATTTTATTACCGTCCTATCAGTAGCACTTTTCTGCCGTTCCACGTGACTTGGGACATTAATAATATTCTTCACATGAATCACCGTCTCGCCAATCTGAGTTCTACATCATTGGAAAAGTGTTAAATTTAACACATTTCCCAAATAGTCCACTCAAATTTATGTGTTAATTTGACACAAGATGAATATATTAAAAGGTAACACAAATATTATTCAAGAAGCTTAAACATAAAAAAAGACAATACTGACACAGTTTATAAACAAACCGTGGAAGCATAATTTCTTCAGTAAAATTAATATTTATGATATGTTAAATTAACATATTTTACTCATTCATCTTAAAATTTACATCTTAAAACACATTATTTTTATGTTATTTGTTTTCTTACTCGTAAATTGTGTTATTTTGACACTAAGAAATGTTGAATATAAATTCAACACAAACTATTTAAGTAACATAATCATATTATGTTAAATTAACACTCGAATATGTTAAAAAATTCAACACAAAAGTTTAGTAAGAACTTGAGTGGATCGTTTCCAAAACAAATACGTAATATTTTTTACTGTATAGGACAAGGCTCTTCATCCTCCGCGATGATCTTCAGCAGTTTCATCATGAATCTTACGATGGCCATCATGTTTCTCACGCGAATTGCATTAATCGATTTATCATTGCATTTATTAGATTCAGATGGTGTCACGGTAGAACAGGTTTCATTCGTCGTGCATTTAATTGCAGCTTCAAGAATACCGTTCTGCAATTGCGTTGACGGAGAGGACTCCATGGTTACCGCATTCTGGTCGTTTACAGTCGTTTCGTAGAGTTTTGGCGGAAAAGTTTCAGTGGGATCATCGTCTCGATAATTGCTCAAAGTTTGCAACTCGCGCGAAGTCTTCTCTGTAATTTCAAGTTTCCGAACGGTTACGGGCATCTTGTAACAACCGCCAAAGCTAGCGTTCCACGAGTCCTCGCAAGGACAACACACCGTCTTAGTTTTCCCGTTATTTGCTAAATCGGCGTTCGGCTTTTCGATACCGATGTGCACCAACGGTACGACGTGCAGAGTAACATTCGGGTCAGTCGGGTTGGATCGGTTCGTTTCGATCGTAGGAACGTCGATTCGATGTCGAGATTCTTTGCTATCCTGATCTTTTAAACTATCGTTGTTGACCAAGACAGATCCCAAAATATCCGGAAAATACACCGGATTCGCGGATGAACGAGAATCCAATTTGTCGGTTGCCCCGCCAGTTCGCCCGGAAATCACCCTTCCGTTCGTTCTGTCCACTTTCCCGTTCGATTCGATCGAGTAATCCGTTAGAAAAACTTGCTTGGGCGATCTCGAGTTCGCGTTATGCTTATCCAATCGCTTCTCGATGCTGAAGGGATTTTTTTTTACCGACTTTCGTTCCTCCTCACTTCTTTTCATCAGATCGAAAAACTTCTCGGGAGACTTTATCGAAACTTGGTTCACATTCGTCTTCCCAACTTCCTGACTTTCGTCCGTTATCGTATTTAGTGAATCACTCGCTTCGTCATTTGCACGTTCGCTTATAGACAAGAGATCAAACGGTTGAGATTCCACGTTTGAATCATTCAGAAGGAGATTAATGACGGTAGTTTCAATCGCCCTGATAGTGTTCAACAATCCTGTGGAAACTGAGGCCTGTGTAGCTGAAAATCCGTCGGGAATGGCATCAAAGCTTATCAGCATCGGCGTTCGATTGAAACCGTCGTGTATCTGAATCTTCCCAATTAACGAAATTTTGATTCCTTCGTTTTGTGACACTGCCGAGTCTTGTAATAAATCGTTCGATATTTTTCCAGCATTCGATAGATTGTGATTATTTACAATAGGGAAGTTTGTAATTTCTCTTGTATTAAATATTGGCTGGGTTCCGTAAAAAGATTCATCTTGTAAATAATTTTCGTTAATATTCTTAGGGAATGAAAAAGACTCCTTGTTAATCTCTTCGTAAGAGCGAGAGTTTCTTAAAATATTTCTAGAATTATCAAAACTTTTTTCTTGTACTGAGTTATTATTATTGATAGTTCTTTGGATAATAAATTTTTCTTCTGCTTCGAGAGGAACTTTTAACATTTTATCGTCGTTAAAGTTCGCAGGATCAGACGATTCGGGAACAACTTTGATATCACGCGGTCTTTTCGAAGAGTTTGTATTCTTATTCTTAACTTTCTTCTTGTTATTCCTGTAATTACTATCATAATTAATAGCAATATTAATTAATGGCTTTATTATGTATAGACCATTATATTATATTAATTATATATTAATGATACATATTAACAATATATAAGCCATAATTATATATAGTTAAATATTATTTTTGTATTGTATCTTTATATTACTTAAAGTAAAAATTGTTGCAACGGACGTAACGAAGTAATAGTCAACTAATTTGACTCATATTTTACCTTGATGATGTTAAGGTCCTGGAATGTCTATTAGCGAAAACAGAATTTGAAAAAGTTAAGTCGGTTTTGAGAAATTTTACAGATAGACGGCCAGACTAACTGTGAAATCATAAAATAGCTTGCTACGCTGCACTGCTTATTAATAATTATCACGAATGTTTTTAATAATGAAATGAGTTTTCCTCAATTTTCTACATTGCTTCTCCATGTTCTCGTCAAATAATTTTAATATTACTATAAAGCATTAATAATCAGTAGTATTATCAAATGTATGAATAATATCAATATGTAATCAACTTTTGAAAATTCGTACGAAGTTATAAAAAATTATGCACAGATAACTCGTTTCCATACAAATAAAAAAAGAATATTAATTAATCTATACGTGTACACTGAAATAAATACTAACTTTTAATATATATTTATTTGAGTAATTCTGAATAAATATTTACTACATGTAAACATGTTTATATTTATTTGATACAAAAACCAGTAATTTGACTATTTTTTTATTAAGTAAATATTTATTACTGTAAGTAAATACTTGGTACTATTCAAAGAAATATGTATTAAGAATTAGTAATTTTTCTTCAATATAGAGTACTACATAATAGAAATTTTTGCATCAATGAGAATCCCGATTGTAAAATCAAAATTAATATCTAGTATTAATAACCTTGAGATTGCCTCTTCGCTATTCGCCTGCATATCGTCAGAAAGCATCGCTACATCGTAGGCAGCAACTGTTCTTTCCTCCGGCATCATAGGTCGTGTAACATCGGCATTCTGGTATGCCAATCGATCCGTCTTGGCCACCAATTTCCGCGGATCACGATTCTCGCCCCGGCCAGGCGGATTCTCGAGATACAATAAATCATCCCTCCTGGCAATAGCTTCATTATCGCTCGAATCATTCTCTCGATCTGTTTCGCTTTCATCGTTCGCGTAATATTCGTCGTTGACATCGTCGATATTCTCGATGTAGTTAGATCCTCCACTCGACAACAGTCGTCTACCCGATCGATGCCAATCCAATCGAGCGGCACGTTTCTCACTTTCCACGAGACTCTTCTCGGTGTTTGCCTTATCCGATACCGATGATGACTTCCCTTTGATCTTATCGATTATTTTACGGACAATGTCATGCACTTTGCCTCGAGGACGTCGAAGGTATTGTTTCTCGGCGGAAACGCGACTTTCTCGGGAATCTGCAAGATTTTCATTAATCTTCCTCGTGTCCTCGTGTCCCCGTTGTCGTGCGAGACCGTTGGAGAACAGCGGCGAGATCTTTTTATCGACACTTTTAGCCGCGACGTCGAGCTCGCCCTTATCGTTCGGTATCATCAATTTCACACCGCGAATGACAGTATCCGTTTCACGACTTTTGTCCTGGTATCCGAGACTTCTTGCGCAAGTCGATAATATCCCACCCGCGGATGATTTTTCCTGTGGTTCTGCGCCGCGATCCGACAAATCGTTTGCGCTCGCACTAGCGGTTCTTGCGTTCTCCGACACGTTCACCGCGATTTTTCGCACCACCGCGATTCTGTCGATCTCGGCCTCCATTCGCTCACCGAATGCCTTTTCCGATCTCCGATCTATTTCCAATTTTTCGCGCACCGATCCGGAAAGGTCCGTTCGTAACGGTGGAATTTTTATCGGGCCTGCAGGCGAAGTACCGAGCGACATCGATGTAATTTCACGATTTCGCGAATAAATGTTTTTGTCCAATTTACGAACCGTGCCGTTTTTTAGCTTTGTAACGGTGAAGTTCTTCAGATTATCTTGCCTATCTCGTTTCTTTTCTTGCACGTGCGAATCGAGATTATCTTCAACGGTACGAAACCTAACATTACGTCTTACAATATCTTGAAGAGCAGCATTGAGCTTTTGTGTCTCATCTCGATTTTCGCGACTACTTCGAGAGAATCCTCGGCTCGCAGGATAATCCAATTCGCCGGCTAATCTTTTTTCAATTCTAGAACGTAATTCAGTCAGCTCTGTTATATTCGGAGACTTTCCGTTTTTATTCAAACCCGTTCTTCCATTTCGCTGAGCCTCTTCATCTTCACTGTCGTAGTCGTAGAAGATCAAGGAATCGCGATTGCCTCCCGCGTGGTTAAAGTCCGATCTCTTGCCTCTCGTCTGTGTGACACCGGAAGAAACTGTCGTTGATGAAGTCCATCCTGAGGAAGTGTTCTGAAAATAATCTACCGACTTGTAGCGGTGCTTCCTTTCTCCTTTAATCTTCTGAATAGGTTCAGATCGATTCGCTGCGATTATCTGCTGCATTTCTGTAGTGCGATACCAAGGGTGCTCCTCAACCTCCTTTTCCGCATCCATTATTTTCATGCTTGTAACGTAATTGGTAATTTCCTGTCGTCGTTTTCCGTTTTTCTCAGTTTTGTTCGACACTCTTCGTGTTTTTGTTTTGAGCGAGGTGCTCGCGTTAGGCCTTCTAGGTTGAAATTTTGATTTAGGAACAGTTATTTCATGAGTGATAGTTGTTGCTTCCGTTTCCTCCATGAAGGTAGTCTCGTCCAGAGAGATCTCATCATGCATCTCTTCCGAAAGTGGTATTGTTTTCAGCGGACGGATCGAAGGTCGGAAAGCTACGTCCGTGATCTTGGTGGTGGTCATCAAGGTCGTCGTGAATTGAGTGACGGTCGTCTCTTCTTCAAGCGGCAAGGTTTCCGCTTCCGTGATTTCGTCGAAGGTCGGCATGCCCGGCATGATGGGCGTGTATACCGCGTGTTGTCTCACGATCCGATCCACTAGCTTGGCAATTTCCTCTTTCTCTCGGGACCTTTCTAGGAAACCCTCCGAATTTTCCAGAAGCGGTTCTTTGGTATAATAAAAATCTGTTTCTTTCCTGCTCAACGAAATTTCTTCAGGTTCAGTAACCGACGCACTACCGCGTGATGAAAGCATCGGATCGATCGGCGAGCCTTCAGGCTTCATGGAATTGCCAGCAATTATCCGCGGAGAGTTGTTATTAAGTTCGAGGAATCTCACGTTCTTCGTTTCAACTCGCTCGCCCTCGTTTCGAGTGTTCAATGCTTTAGGAGACGTCGTTTCCGTGGAACTGTTTGCCCAACTGCTAGATAATGTTCTAAGTGAATCACCAGTGACCTCGAAATAGTCACTGACATTTTCGTTCCATGAAGTATCCGACAAAAGTTTCTGCGTGAAAACTTCCGTCTGCCTCATTGCGAATTCGGTTGCATAAATTGGATTTTTTGATTCATTAAAATTAAATTCTCTTGAGACATTAAACTTCCTCGTAATCGGTGATGGCAGAAAAGGACCGATGACGAGTTTGAGAAAGACAGATTCTTTATAGTCGGTGGAATCTGTTTGCTTAATTAATGATGTAATTGTAACTTCATTGCTTGTCATCGTAAATTCCGCGAATGAATTTTCATTCACAGTTGATCGCTGACATTTATTAATTAATTCTGCGGGTTTATCGCCATGAATCACAAACCGCTCGCTCGATCTGTCGTTTCCTCGCGAAAGCGAATTGTGTCCTAGTTCATTCTGAATTTTAGGGATATCAGCTTTTGTGATTTCGCTCTTTGTAACTACTTTGAAATTCTTTGGAGTTTCTTGAATAATTTTTGTAGAGTCTTCCTCGGTAGAATCTTCCTTCAGGACGTTGCTTATTCGCATGAACTTGTCCTCGATCCGCTTATCAACGCTGTTCTTTTCGCCGTCTTTATTGTTGAAGTAGAAGGGATTATCGTTCTCTTCGAATTGGACTTTCCTATGAGAATGACCGGATTCTAAAATCACTTGTTTCTTCGGACTTTTACTACCTCCAGTATTTGGTGTTTGCTTAGAGTAAGCCTCAGGTCGAGTATAATCAATAAAGCCTTGCGTTTTGCAGCGCGAGGCTTCATCTGTCAGACTGTTGCTCCGATTGTGAGCGTCTACTATATTAAAAACTTTCTTTCCGGTTTGGAGATGTCTTCGAAAACGTCTATCGCGCTTCGAAAATTTGTTCCGCAAACTGTCGCGTTTAAAGTCCGGCAACGCGTGCTTCCGCGTCAGTCCACGGCCCGACTTCCCGAAGCGCTTCAACTTCTCTCCGACAACGTCCTTGTCTCCGCGAAACTTCTCGGCGCTCTTCGACTTCCGCAACTTCCGGCGGGTCTTCCAGAATTTGTAACTGTTTTTCAAGTTCACGTCTTTCGGCGCTAGCTCGGACGAGTTACACATTTTGTACGATTCTCGGTCTTTGTGTAAATCCTCGAAGGGAAATCCTTGTATCTCGTTGGCTAGTAACGAACTGCGAGTTTCTGATTCCAGGATTTTCGTCAATGATTTATCTGCGGAACGAGCGGCGATGGTGGACACGGATAATTCTTCCAGCCGCGAGATTCCATTGGAAGAGGAGAGATTTTGTAATCTTGTAAAAGCAGGAGTGGTCGAGATTCGCGTCGATACATTAGCATTTTCCGTTTTTCTCTCCTTGCTGCTCGTATTACCTCTTCGAATCGCGGCTGCACTTAAGTTCTTTCTTACGATCGAAGCGTTTCTCAATGCGTTATCAGAGATGTTCTCCGACGTTCTAAATCCACATTGTCTCTCTTCACCTTCCGTCGACGAGCGCG